TGGAATCGGTGGTGAGGAATGTTTTCAAGGAAATTATAGTAGTTATTAAAACGTAAGAGAAATTATATATTCATTTAATAATAACGAAAATAATTAATTTTTGTTGTTTTATTTTATTTTATCTCACATACAAATTTTTTGAAAATATATATTAGGAAATATGTGCAATGATTTAACTTTTTGAGCTCCTAATCTATATATTATTCAACCCTCATTAAGCCATCCACGTATGCACCCGTGTGGAGTTTACTTTTTTTTTTGTTTTTTTTTTGTCTGTTCGTTTTTGGATTTATTTTTTATTATTTTTGGGTTGAGCTATATTATAATAGGATAGTTTTAACCGCGTAGGCAACCACGTGAGACTTGTTTTTTTTTGTTTTTTGTTTTATTATTCGTTTTGGATTCATTTTTAACTATTTTGGGTTTGAACTTATTAAGGTTTACGGTTTATACAACTATTTTGATCTTTCAAATAATAAGCCCAAAAAAAAACATAAGAACCTTATAAACAAAAAGCCCATATAATAATAACCTAAATAAAAAAAAATCAAAAATACATGATAGCTGCGTGGTTTGAACACACAATCTTGCATACTTAATTAGACACCTTATACCACTTGGCTGAAGTGTATTTCATTGTTTGTAACCATCTTACCAAGACTATGTGTGTTTAAAAAATATTTTTATGATGATGACATTAATTGGTTTATGCATGAGAGCAGTAGGAATTGAACCCATGTCGTTGGAGACCAAACATGGGGTCTTAGACCACTTGACTAAACTGATATTCTTTGTTTTTAGCCATTTTAAAACAATTATCTATTTTAATATAAAAATGTGAGACTCACAATCTGCCTATGTGGACACCTTAAGGAGCCTTTAAACTGAATTATTATAATATAGATTCTCAAAGTTCTATCTCACATTAATCAAGGAAAACACTTATATTTAAATTAATTAGTATATGTTGATATACAAATCCAAAAATATGTCAAATGGATATATTTTAAGATAATTTTGCATGTGGCCATCATCATGATAAAAAGCTTCAAAGAGTTTCTCAAAATATACTTCAATAATAAAAATTATTACCCAATGAAAAGATGGCATGTGTATTAAAAGTCTCTTATCAAGAGACTAGAATCTTTCCATAGAAATTCTTAAATTTTGATTGGTTAATTATTTGTCTAATCACGTATTATTTAAAAATATATTTAAAAGTTGTAAATGTTCTAAAAATATTTTTTACTAATGATATATAGAGTTTTTGGTAGAACATTAACATTTAGAATATATAAAAATTTAAAAGTAATTACATAATTAAATTTGACAGATTCTTGACGAAATCGTTTTCCCGATGAGATAGATCCATAGAAATGTATTCGTCGGAAATGGCCTTTTCCGATGGATTCCTGATATCTTGCTTATTTCATAGTTTTAATCATCCTTTTTATGTTCATTTCAATCACTTTAGCTGCATTTAGAGTCCCTTTAGGTGCATAGCATATGCATGTGTGGTATTTCAGGTATGGAGAAGCTTAGGTTGGAGATTAGAGGGTTTAATCAAAATTATGAAACTCACCAAGAAGTTTAAGGTGAACTCACGCGGCCATGTAATGCGGCCCATCACCAGGCTGCGTTTTTCGTCCCGAGATCCTCGACCACACCACGCGGGCACATCACGCGGCCAGCCTTCGTCCGCGCCTTCTCACAGGTCAAGCACCACAGTCGACTCCGAGATTAAGTTTCCCATTTGTGTCTTGGGTCAAACCCGGGTTTGTCGGGCCGACCCAGTTTAAGTTTTAAGCTACTATAATATAATCTAGACCTAATCTTTAGGATTATCTTCTTTTCTCTCTAAGAACACATTGAAACCTTTAAGAAAGATTGAATCTTTAGTTTCTTTTCTTCTTATTTCTTTGTGATTGTTTGATTAAACTTGCTTCTCAACATGATTTCTCTTGAATCAACCATGGGTTTAAGGTTAATCATGAAGATTAGTGAGTAGACTCCTTTTGGATTCATGGACTAGAGTGATTAAGAGTGATTAGAGAAGATATAGGATGTTTAGTGTTAGATTTACTTGTTTCCTTGCTTGTTGAGGGTTCTCAATGCAATTTTAGTCTTGATCATACCAACTCTTCAATGCTTTTAACTTGCTTTACCTAAGAGATTAGTTGCTAAAGAAGTTAAGATTGCCATTAGACTTGTTCTCCATGTTTGCTTTAGTAATATTCAACCTAAGAGATTAGATGCTTGAGTTGCTTTAGTAAAAGAACATTAATCTAGAGATAGAGCTTGTTTAGGATTGTGTCTAGGCATAAGGAAAGTGTATGATTGCTAGCTTGTCATCTAGATTAGATCTACATCACCCAAGATCAAATTTCTAGTCCCATAAGTCCTCTTGCTTCATTTTGAGAAAGAAAGATCATCCCTTTATTGCATTTTAGTAGTATTCTAGTTCAATATCATCTCACTTATTGGTTGCACTTAGATTGAGCATTGTCTTGCATTCCCTTTACTTTAAGATCACTTAGAATTGGTTCGACATCTCTTATACTATAGGACCCTTGAAAAGTTCTATTATCAATTCCCATCTGTCGGAAATATAATATTTTCTTGTAGTGAATTTGCTAGTGCAACGCTTTGATAGTCACCAAAGATATATCTTGAGTTTCAATCACTCCGAACTTTTGATCTTCACATTGCACCTTTTGATTTTCACATTGAACTTGTGTTGTCACGAACAATCGACGATGCAACATACACGGTCGATAAAACTAGCTTTTATATTCGTCCAGAGGGTAAGATCTACGGTTGAATCATTCAAAATTTTATGGTATATGCATTTAGTTTTGAATCTGCAACACATCATCCATATTAACAAAGACTGAGATGCAACAACCATTAACCGGGGCAGGCACATTCAAAATAGCCACACTTGTCTCATCATAGGACATTCAAATAAGATAATTTCGTAAAATCGTGACATTTTGTGTAATCATGTGATAACTGAATTTTGATCAGTAGATTATCCGCACAAAAATGATAAAAGCCCATGTGTCCAAACAATGCCGACCCAAATGTTTGACGAATAAATAATCTCCAACTCTTTCACGAAATCATTGCTGAGAAAATGACATGACGAAACTGGTAACGAACTCGTGCCCACTCAAAGACACATGAACCATGACTCGGCTGTAGCATACATGGAACCACGAGTTGTAAGGCTTGTAGCCAAAATGCTAGAAAACAAAATCATCAATATGACATAACTATACGAGCAATATGTCTTATATGAATAAATTGTTTAAAATATTTGTTCGCTTTGTCGGTCTAAGTATACTAGTTGTATCAGTTGACGTCGTTTCTGTGAGTTTTTTCGTATTCATGAATCCCCAGTTGACATTAGCCAAAGGACATTTTCCGTTTGGAACATGTACATTCATCTCATAACTATCATAACTATCATGATAATAATATATTTATAATATTATACACAGACATGCATCCAAAGAACCGTAATAACATGACTCATACGTGAATAACCAAAGTTATAACAACACAAAACAACACTCCTCCTCTGCTTGTATACCCAATGAAAGCCATACCAAAGGAGAAATGTGAAATAAATATATAACTCGAAAACTATTGAGTTCATGAGAAACTCAAATTAACCCAAATATACCCTCCTAATCCCAATGAAAAGAAACACCAACCCATGTGGTGGACCTTAGAATTACATAGATGGAAAAAGATGATAAAAGTCAGGACCATATTATGTACATACACATATACTTTACCTTGGTAAACTTAACAGTCGACCATAGTAAACCTTAAACCAGTCTTGAGCCCCTTTTGTTTTCTTGAACAACGCAAAGGAAAATGATAGAGATGGTGAGATGAAGAGGATCCGAGGGAGATTTATAGTGGCCAAGATCAACATTTCCCCAGATCTTATCTCTCTGATCCAAGCTTCTTCTCTCATCTCAAAACACGAAAGAAAAAAAAAAGTGATGAAGATGAAACCCTAGCTCGTTATAACCAGCAAGTTTTGGTTTATATCAAGGAGGTAAGGGAGGATCCAACGATATTATTTGTTGGATAAAGCCATGCTCCATTGGCAACACTTGCATTATTCCAGATGTTGTTGTAGTTTGAAGGATCCAAAGATGATGATGACATAAACCCATTAATGTTCCCGGAGATCTCATCAAGCTTCCCTTCTTTGTTCATATCTTCATTGTTACCTCCAACATGCAGATCCTGAAGTGATGCTAGGGTTTGGAGATGGGACTGTCCCATCATCTCACCACTATTGTTCATGGGCTTGTGTGGATGCTGGAGAAGAGTAGATAAAGAGGAAGATACCGAAGACCCAAATAAACCCGAGGGAAGAAATGGTTTGTTTGTTGTGGAGTTGTTGATGAAGCTACCATTAATGGTTTGGTCATGACTCATATGATGTGGAATCCCTGATCCAAGACCATTATAACCAGATGAGAGAAACTCACCCTCTAACCCACTTGAAGTCTTTGAAGGATCACTGAAACGGCTTGGAAACATTGGAAGGTTATTACCACTACTCACATGATCTGATAAACCATAGAACATGGGCTGATGATGATGATTCATGGAAGGGAAATGGGAGATATGATGATTAGGATTATTAGGGGATGAAGAAGTCGTCGTTGAGGCCGTGGGGGCAGCGGTTGCGGTTGCTGGCCGCTTCACACGTTTGTTCTTCCGGTAGCTACCGCCTACGGGAACATTACGGAGGGTACCACCTCGTGTCCAATACCTTTTGCAAGCCTTGCAAAAGTGCCGCGGCTGAGAGAGGCTGTAGTTGTTGTAGTAACAGAACTTTGTGTTTGATGAATCGCAACGAGGGCATTTAAGCTGCGGTTGAGGCGGTTGCTGCTGATGAGACGGAGAAACGATCATGTTCTTGCTCTGCATACCCGCCTGAGAAGAGAGGGAGAGAGAGAAAGGACATTTAGATCGTGTGGTTTAACTTAAGGCAAGAGAACAAAGAGAGGACAAATGGATATTATTCGGATACAAAAGCTAAGAAACAAAAGATAAAAGGTCAATATTATTTTGAGAGAGAGAGAGAGAGAGACCGGTGGATTGGTATCGGGAGAGTTGATGATATGCATCTTCTTCTTTTGGTCACAATTGCCAAACATATCTTTCTTGATTAAACTCTTTTGATTTTGTATTCGTTCTTTGTTTCTTCACTCCTTTAAAAGAGAATCCTTTGAAACCAGTAGTGTACAGACAAAGAGCTGTTGGCTACTGAAGCTATTACTTACTGTTTTAGTTTTCAAAGACTGCAGCACAAAGATTCTTGACAGATGTTTTTAGTCTCCTTACTTTATATTTTATTTATAATATTGTTATTTGTGTCACTTTTCATTAACTTATGGATATATAGATGTCACTAGGGTTTTCTCTAGTTGTACTAACATATAGCTACTGGTTATTATTTATTAATTAAGATTTGTTACCGAAATATTCAAGATGCCTCTGTACTAGAAATGATCCACTGGCTTAGTTTTCCTATTCTATATATTAAACTAGAGAACCCGCCCCTTACGGACGGTGATTAGAATAAAATAATCAAAATATATTTTAAAATTTAATAAAATAATTATAATGTTTAATTTATTACCAATTAAAAACCTTCTCCATTCTTAACTGCACTTTTATTATTTAATATTTATATTGTCATTTTCAAAATATATACTTGTTTCATGATTAAAAAGTTAACTATAATTGTTTTACTCTGTCCTATTTAAATTTTGATAGTAATTAAAATAGTTTTTTTAAAAAAAATATGTACTCATTTATACTCAACACATAAACCATAAATTATTTTATATCTTTATTTTTCTAATTCAGTGACACTTTTTTACTTTTATACATTTTATTCAAATTATTAAGTTATACAATGCAAAATAACTTATATATTATAATAAAATTACTTAGAATTAGGTAAGTGACGTAAAACCTAATACAATTCTTACTTTTTATCAATAGTTTAAAAAAAATTAATATGTTATTATATTTGAAAACCAACCAATAAATCATGTTACCGAAATAAATAATTAGGGTTTACAAAATAAATGATACTTATTAGTTTTCAAATTTGAGTTTACATTGAATTTATTATATATGATTATTATTTTCTTGATAAAAAAATAGAGGGATTTGTCAAATATGACTCAAAACTTGATTTTAAATGCAAAAATATACCCCAATTCAAATCAAATGTGAAAATAATTCAAAATGCTAATGAAATTACAAATATCCCCTCATGACCAAACAAAAAAACAAGATTATAGTTCACCATTATAATCTCGCGAGTGAGAAGACTTTCATAAGAAAATTTACCTGAAAATATTCTCATGCTGTAGATTTTAAAAATAATTTATAAACTTCATAAAAATATTTTGATATGGGAAAAGTCATAATCATCTAATTATAGACATTTTTAAATGATATAAATTTAGATTTAATAAAACTGAACTGTTTTCAACATAGATGGGTGAAAGTAAGTTAGTCATGATATTCTTTGGTTTAGGGTTTGGTAACTATGTTGTAGTATTTTATGTGTTTTTAGGACTAGATTGTGGAATCTTAACATTTATTTTTAAATAATAAATTTTAGCTATATGTGTTTAGTTTTCTGTAGATAAAACATTTTATAAGTTTAATTTAGGTTTAGGAATGTTACAAAAACATTTTTAATTTAGGTTTAATAAATTTTTTTTGTATGTGATTTAGTTATATATTTGTTTTTGGAGTTTTGGAAGACTTAAATTTTTGAAGATATAATGCACTAGAAGACTTATTGGATGACTTAAAAAAATTTTCCCGCTTATAATGTTAAAAGAATTTAGGTTTCCCGCCTAAAATTAACTCATCCAATAAGTCTTCCTTAAGTCTTCGAGTGAAAGTCTTCTAGTGTATTAGTTCTTAAAATAATTTATAAATTTCATAAAAAATATTTTGATAGAGGGGAAAAATCATAATCATCTAATTAGACCTTTGTAAGTGATACAAATTTAGATTTAAGAAAACTGAATTGTTTTCAACATAGATGAGTGAATGTAAGTTAGTCATGATATTCTTTTTGGTTTAGGATTTGGTAACTATGTTATAGTATTGTATGTGTTTTTAAGGTTAGATTGTGGAATCTTAATTTTTTTTTTAAACTAAATTTGACCTATATGTGTTTACTTTTGTGTATATTAAACACTCTATCAGTTTATTTTTAGATTTAATAAGTTTTCGTATGTGATCTAGTTCTATATTTGATTTTAGGGTTTTAGAAGACTTAAATTTTGAAGATATGATGCGTTAGAAGATTCTGGATGACTTAACAACAGTTTTCCGTTTAAAGTTTTAAAAAGAATTTAGGTTTCCCGCCTAAAGTAAGTCTTCTAGGAGAATAGTAAGTCTTCTGGGCAAATAGTAAGTCTTCTGGGTGAATAATAAGTCTTATGGACGAATAGTAAGTCTTCAAAATAAGTCGTCTAGGTGAATAGTAAATTTATGGTCTAGTTGACTTCTTGGAAGACTTTCATATAAGTCTTCTAAAGTCTTCTGTATCAAAAAAATTCAACCTAATTAGAATTTTTGTCTTCCTATATAAATAAAAATTTACACATTATGTTTTTTCCTCTCAAATGGAGACAACAAAAATGTAATATTTCTCACTCTAAAATTCTCTAACCTCTCTCTAAACTATTTAAATTTGATATCACCAAACATTATATCAATTTCTCATTTTTATTTGTTTCTCACTATTTTATCTTGTTTTTGCAGGTTTTTCATTACATAGATGTCATATTTACTCTTTCAAAGATAGATCTATATATTTTTGATATGTATTTTTGTGTCTTTTATATATTAGATTCTAATAAGTTATAGATTCAACATAATCTAATTGTTTTAGTTATTATTTAAGCTTAAAACATTGTTTTTGAATTTTTTTCTCTGTTTTGATGTTATTATTTAAACATTTTTAAATCTAAGCGTCTTGGTAATTTTTCATGTCTAATTTTTCTTCATTTAGTAATCGCTTGTTGAATAAAGCTCTTATCTTTTTCCAAACTAAAATTCTACAACCTCTCTTTAGTCCCTTTAAACATTAAAACACCAAACTTTATATCAATTTCTCATTTTTTCTTATGTTTTTCTTACTAATTTATCTTTTTTTTTGCAGATTTTTTCGAATCTGAGTCAGACATTGGAAGACTTACATAAGACGTTCAGAAGACGTCTTCTCCCATATCAAGTGGAGTCCAAGCTTGTCTTTGTGAAGAATAATCTATAATAGTTTTGTTTGTGGTATGTTTTGTGTTTGTATGTGTAGGTTTTAGTTGTGATTTTTTTTTTGTAAATTTGAAGAAATATTAATGAAAAATATGGTAAATATGTTTATTGTCCAAAATTACTTGACATTATTAAAGTAAACAAGAGTAGAATAAAAGTATGGTTTCATATTTGTAAAATTAGTAACTATGTTTCTCAAGATGTAATATATGTGATAACAATCTGTTTTCCCCTTTTACAAATCAATGAAATAAAAAACTTCAATGGCCTTCAAATTCATAACATGATGTTCATTATGTAGTTCTTCTCATCTTTGGTTCTCCTATACTCTGCAAAAAAAAAAAAAAGTTTGTAACTATAAACAATATAAGTTTGTAACTATAAAAATAATAGTTGTTCATCACTTTTAATTTCTAAGAAGTAAAACCAACAAAGTCTTTTAAGAAGTAGAACCAATAAATTTGTAAATATATAGAACTAAGATATAATGAGTAGGTTAACTCTTCCAACTTCATTTTCATGTACACATTATAATCTTCTTGAAATTATTTAAGACTTTTGGAAGTTAAAAAACTTATCTTAAATTACTTAACGTTCTTAAAAATACAAGTTTACAAAAACTAACGTGGAAAACCTCCACGGAAGACTTCTGTGAAGAGACTTCTTAATAAGTCTTCTCAGATTAGCTAGAAACATTAAAAACATGAATATTAATAACCTCATAATTATCACCAATTAAGTTATGAATTTCATTCAGGTAAGTCTTTTACAAAAATATAAATCTTAAGAATTCATTTTAAATTTGAAAAAGATTTATTGTTAATTCATATGCCAGTAAGATTTATTGTTAATTCATATCTTAACAATAAATCTTAAGAATTCATTTTAAATTTGAAAAAAATGAAAGCTTATTATATATTTTTGTAAAAGACTTACCTGGAAGTCTTCCCGGAGAAGACTTCAAGTAAGTCTTCTGGCGGAAGATTTCCAGTTAAGTTTTTAATTTAGGTTGTTTTTACAATTGAAAATTTGCAAGGAAGACTTTCAGAGAAGTCTCCTATAGAGGAGACTTCTCTAGAAGTCTTTCTTTGTAAATATTTGCTTACTTTTGTAATACAAAAATTATCGAAAACACCTAAGAAAATTTACTTGGAAGTCTTCTTGCATAAACTGGTTAGTTTTGCAATTGACCAATCTATGTTAGAAATTTGACTTTCTACGAAAGACTTCCAGGTAAGTCTTCCGCCAAAAGACTTACCTGAGATTCTTCTCACTTTTACATTAAGTCTACTCGCTATTGATGTAAATCTGCGTATGTTACTTTTGCAATTGACTATATTTGACTTTTGTTGAGAAGAATTTCAGGTAAGTCTTCTTTGATTACCTTAGGTTTGACCAGAATCGCGGAATAAAAATCTGGAATACTTCTAGGTAAGTCTTCCCGTCAGAAGACTTATCTTGAAGACTTCCAAGTAAGTTTTCGAACGGAGTCTTCCCATTTAAATTAAATATTTTAAGTTTAAATTTTCAATTGCAAAAGTAACTTACGCAAACTTCAGTAACTTAATCTAAAGGTTGAGAAGACTTCCAGATATGTCTTCTCGATTTTTTTTGTCAAGAAA